AAAAACTAAGAAGATTCTATTCTGAGATAGACTTTCAGGAGGTAATCTTCTGTTCTAATTATTTTCTATTTGTATTTACTCTATTATTTTGTATGCATGAGTATTTTCCTATGTATGTATGTACACTATGTGTGTGCCTGGTGCCCCAGAAGGTCTGAGGCAAACAACACATGCCCCGGGAATGGAGTTACAGAAAGTGTTAGGATATCACATGGGTGCTGGGATTGATCCCAGATCCTCTGCAAGAGCAAAAGGTGCTTGTAACGACCGAGCAACTCTCCAGCCTTTTCTTTGTACCAATTTAAAGAAGATAAATTATTCTGTAAATTTAAATTATAACTCTAGTGTGTACCAAAATGATAACCCCAGACTTCAATATTTGGTATAAACTTAAAGAAAACATCTATGCCTGTATAATTTATACTTAATTTTTATTGAAATAGAAATTCATTTAATATTCAACTAGTCATTGAAAGTTATTTGTTCAGTTGTATTTAGTAGAAATGTTGTGTAGCTACCATCTCTCTCTGGTTCCCAAATGGTTTCATTACTCCCAGGAGAATGCCCTGTGACCTTTTTAGTACTCACTCCCTATTCCTTCTCCTCATCACCTGGAAACCCCAAACCTGTTCTTAAGTTCAAACGAAGCATCTTAGACATGTAGAAGGCAACGGAACTGTATTCTTTAGCGTAAACTACTGGTCCAGCTCCAGTTGGATGAGTGAGCATTTAATATCCTTGGAGCTCTGATCTATAATCACTTCTTAATCTTCCTTTCCCCTACCCCCCAGGTCACACTGCAAGCTCACATTGGAGCTGTTCGTCACTGGGTGTGCTGCGTGTGTTACAGTGAATGGCACGTTGTGTACTCCATATTTGTGAAATTCATTTAGAATTAATTCATCCAAGTAACCTAGCTAAGAGCATACAACTCATAAATTATGAGTCACAATCCAAGCTTCAATTTACAAGAGCTTGTTTGGGACGTACGGCACCGTTTAATCTTGCTAAGAACCCTATGCAATAAAGGCTTTTATTAGATCATAAAGTTGGGGTGGGAGGTGGAGAAGATTAAATGCAATCCAAGCTAACACAAGATGTGGTCTCGGAGTCCAGTAGTCATGTAGGCAAAGTATTGAAAGATGCCATCATTTTGTTGCATTAGTTATAACTGTTAGGAAGCGGAGGCAGAAAAGTGTGAGACCTAGAGAGCGTGGAAGAAAACAAGAGAGGCGGAAAAGTCAAGGCCTCTGCATCAATCTGAGCAAAGCTAACGGAAGCTGCAGGGACTGAAGCAGCTTGCACCGGTCCTGCCGTGCTCTGCACCAGGTGCTCGGTGTGTGCCTGATAGCTCCTATGTCTAGTATTTTTATGGAATTCCTGAATGTGCATAGGAGTGGATCTCTGATTCTTATGCCTCCTCTTGGGCTCCTTTCCTTCTGTTGGCTTATCTTGTGCAAATTTGATGTGGTGGTTTTTGTTTTACAATACTATATTTTATTTTATTATATTTTTAAGTAAATAAAGGTGAGTCTTTCCTATGAAAATATTTCTAAAATATATGGAATTGGCTAGTCATAATGGAATACACCTGCAGTTTCACTTCAAAGTTGAGGGCGGGAGGATCAGGAATTCAAGGTTATCCTCATTTGTATAGAGTTTGAGGCCACAAACTCTTTAGTTTAAACTACAAGAGACCCTGTCTTGAATGGGTGAATGAATGGGTAAATTAAATGTAGTTGAGTTTATTTTCAATACCTTTATTTTCTCAACCAATTAATAACAATAATTGCTCATGTATAGTTTTCATGAGTTGAGTAGGTAGTATACAGAGACCAGCAAGATGTCTCAGTGAGTAAGAGCTCTTGCTTTCGAACCTGATTACCTAAGTTTGATGCCCTAGTTCCACAAGGTATGAGGAAAGCTGTAGTCCTATATGATAGAAGAAGAGAATGAACTCCATCCAGTAAGTTCTCTTCTGAACTCTACTCATGTGCCATAGTATTTGTGTTCCCAAATACACAATCATGCATACACACTAAATAAATGTAAATAGAAAAAACTTTAAACTCTCTCTTGGGGATTGGATATGCAGCTCAATAGCAGAGCATTTTCTTAGAATGGATGAGGCCAGAAATTCAATTCCTAGCAATTCAGGATATAATAACAGATACATAAATAAATTACCTGTAATTTTTTATCTTGACCATGATCTCCTTTGTCATCATTAACAACCACTACTAACATTTAGATAGGACTTGAAGTTTATAAATTACTTCAACATGTACTTTCTTGCTGTACAGTTACTGCAATATCCCTCTTTGTTTGGTTGGTTAGTTGTTTTTGTTTGTTTGTTTGTTTGGTTTTTCGAGACATGGTTTCTCTGTGTAGCCCTGGCTGTCCCGGAACTCACTCTGTCGACCAGGCTGGCCTTGAATTCACAAAGATCTGCCTGCCTCTGCTTCCCTGAGTGCTGGAAAAATATGAGTGCCACCTTCCTTCCCTCCCCACTGGCCCCGCAACATCCTCGTTTCATTGAAAAGAAAACCAGGCATCATGAAGGCTAAATGATCTGCGTAGGACCTCACAGCTAGTTAAACTAACTCACTCTCAAATCTGCCAGTTCTAAGTATTTTATTTCTTAGTCTACCGTGTTGATATTTCATTTGTTTGGTTGCTGCATACCTTTAATACTATCAGCTAGCCCGACTTAGAAAATATTACATCAAACCTTTGAGTAGACACCTTCACCAAAGCTCCAAAAGACCAATCCATGAGTGTAAACTCAAGAGTGTGAAGAGCTCTCTTAACCCATTTCACGCTGTGTGCTCTTTGAGAAGCGGCGCCAAACGTTCAGAACATGCTTTCAAAGAATTAAGTTTAGCATTCAAATTCAAGGAGAAGGAGCAAGAAAGACAAAGAAAATGTCTTCTTAGCACCGCAACTAGTGACATGGCAGCCTCTCTCCATCCACTAATGTTCAAATTTTTATTTGAAAACAGGAACAAAATTCTCAAGAGGAAGCAAACCTAAGTAGACGGGAGTGGAGGAATGTATTACCTTCTATTTTGTTAACTATAACTAAGTATCCAATGCTGGGTACTTAATAAAGAAAAGAGGTTTATCTAGCTCATGGTTCTAGAGACTGCAGCATTTAATGAGCTCCTCTATAGTCAGCTCCCTTCTTAGAGGGACGCTCATGAGGGCAATAGGATATTCTAAGGGAAGATGAAACATGCTATCTTGCAGGGAAGCTCATTACGCTCGGGAAGTAAACAACTCAAAGGCTCCAGGAAATCCCTAAAAGTGACCAGATTCACAGGATCCCTCCCTTCACCAAACACATATCTGCTGAGAGACACCCTCAGAGAAGCTGGGATGTCTGGAAGAAGAGAGCCCAGCTAAGCTGGATGGAAGAGGGTCAGACCAATTGACCTCCCTATGAAGAACTCTCTCCAGCCTCCAATCTCACAACTGTCTGAGGTTGTGCAGCATCCTCCGGGATTCCATCCTTCAGTCATGCTGGGGCAGACTACTTTAGCCTGTATTGGTTCCCTCTCTGGGAGGGTGTAGAGGCTTTCTCACTTCTCCCCAGGAACATGGTCGCTCACACCATGGGCCTAGTTTCAGTTCAGCTCCAGTGAGGTTACTTTGGAAGTCAGTCCAAAAATACCAAGACCACTTCTAGAGAAAGGAGGTGGCATCCCAAGATAGGAAATTACAGAGCAATTTAGAAACTCAGAGGTCGGCCTTGCTCTTACAATAACCCACTCTCACTAGAACTAACCCAGGGTCCATAAGAACTGTCATAATCCCATTCAGGCACAATGCCTTCAATGATCTAACAGCCTCTCATGAGGTCCTGCTTCTTAAAGACCCACCACCTGTCCCAGGGAAGGCTAGGCTTCCAACACATGATCCTCGGGAATCAAACTACATGCAAAACACAGCAAGCAGTGTATAGGTCAGATCACCATCCCTGACTGACGTTTGGATTTGGGGGTTTTCAATCTTCCAGGCATTATCCTTTGAAGAGTGAGAACATATATGCACAAGAGAATGTATGCGTGATTGAGAGACCTCAAGCTAAGCTATGGAAGTCAGAGAAGGAGACACATAGGGACTCTGAGAACCCTTCGGGTAGAGTGGCCATGTCTAGAAAAAAATAATAGTGCAAGGTATTCAACAATAGTTGATTTTCTAATAAGCACTTTTTGGGGGTATAGTATGCTGTATTCAATGATTGGAATATAATTTTATATGAAAAGTATTCATTGTTGATCTGAAGTTAAACTTAGCGAGGCAATCTTGTACTTTGGCCACTCACCCTAAGGATAGTCCTGTGTCAAGCTCCAGGGATACTTTTAGGCAATAAAAACTAGAACGGAGCTACCGTGAGCACGTCTGAGTTAAGTCCTTGGGTGCACCCATACATCTTTTTTTTTAACATGTTTCATCATCTGCTTGAGCCTTTTGTCTTTGATTGAAAATCGCTGTAAACTATGCTTGAACACCACAGCGTTAATCATAAGCCTCTTGAAGTATTTTCATATTGTGTATAATAAATGCCCATATACTTGGGATTTAAATAAGAACTACTTACCACAATATTTAGTTAAAATTACAAAGTGAGTACAAATTAAGCCATCATTTTGTTAAGGTTTACGTTATAAGTCTGATTTAATTTCCTCATGTTTTTCTATGTGTGTTTGTATAACTGTTGTGTCAAGACTTTCACTGATAAAGTATTTCAAATTAGCTGCATGAAGAAATGCAGTCAAGGAGTTACAACTGATGTGCGTTGGGACTAAACACCTACAATCAGAGTTGTTTCTCACCTGAGTCCCTCTTACTGATGTTATGTAACAAATGGCCCTGATTGCTGGCAATAACTCACTTAACAGGCTCGCATTTGCAGGGTACGCTCATAAAAATAAAATAATGAACCGCTAGTTTTCCTGAAAAGAAAACAACACGAGATGTGGGCCCGAGAAGCTGCATGGCCGTTTTATTCCATCTGAAACCCTCCTAGTGCTGGGAAACAAGTGTTCGTGAGAGGTGGTGGTGAAACAGGGTGGAGCGAGGAACAAGGAAAGACACAGGAGCCACCATCTCTCTGGTTGCTGACCTCCAGACCTCCAGCCATTTGACCCCAGTGTCCTAGGACACCAAGCCTGTCTGTTAGGTATAGTGTTGGGGCAGGGGAGGATGACTAAAGGCAGCCAAAGGGACAGGGTAGTAGCAGTGAGGAGACACAATGCCCAGGTAGACAGCGACCTGAAGTTTTCTTCATTTATGTCCTTGGGTGACTTGTGCGATGATTTTAAAATGTCACATTCATTTGACAAAGTCATTCGCCATCGTGAAATCATCTGCATCTTTTTCTCATGTTTTTTAATACTCTACCATCTTCTTGTGAAACATCCTAGTTTCAGTTCATGGAAGAGTCCAAAGAATTCTCCAGATTCAATTTCATCCCAATATCTCTCCCCCAATCACCTTAATGTGACGTTCTGGGAAATGTGTGGAGCACATTGTTACTAAAGAACAGCAGCATCTTGGTGCTAAGGCAGCTAATTCTTCTTCTTTGCAACTCAGCACGAAGCACAAGGCTTTGATCTAAAGCTTGAAGAAGAGAACCTTCACATTGGTCATCATGGGAGCTTCCGCGGGTTGGCTCATGTCCTGTTGGCCAAGTTCACATGGGAAACCTCAGGGAGCCGCTTAGAATGACCTTGTCAACAGGCTAAAGGCTGAGCTCTCCTCCTAACACTGTCCTCCTGTCCCTGCGCATGAGAAATCACAGCTTTGAAGACTTCGTATAGCATCTCTTTTCAAATATGCCCAAAAGAGACAGTGGGTTTACCGATAGGTAACAAAATCCAGGGCTAGTCTGTCTTCATCTCAGGGCTTCTTCATCCAGGAAAATTCTTTATCCCATGTTAATGTAGCTAAGTAGCTCCAAATGCCTCAGGAAACAGTCTGTGAAGGAGGATTTGGTTTTAAAATGGAAAAGTATTCAATAGGATGCTTTTTCTATAGATAACATTCAAATGGTTGAAAAACTAAAATGGCCCACCCCTCCCTGAGGATTCATAAGCAACTAACAGTTTCTAGGAGGGAGGGGGCTCCTAAGGCCTCACCTGAAGGATTCACAAGCAGTTACTGGTTTCTGAACCAGGCAGGGGAGACAATTTCTTCAATGGTGTAGCCAGAGAAAGTTGTTTGTGTTCCCCTCACCCATGCTCCTGTTAGCAACCTGAATGAAACATATGGGGGTGGGGGGAGAGAGAGGAGGGGTACAGACTAGCTAGAGCAGAGAAAGGCAGTCCATAGAAATGGGGGAGAAGACGAAAGAGATTGAATATAGCAAACATGCAAACACATTAGTGAAATGCCGTAATGAAACCCATTACTATGCATAGTTAATAAATAATAATAAAATGTGTACTTATAAGAAGAGGAAAAGAATAAAAATAACACAAAGATATAGAGGTTGAGAAGTTATATTTAACCCCTGACACTAATGTCCACTATAGGCTAGCTCTTCCCGTGTTTTTTGGGGGGGAGCATGAGGCAGGGTCTTCCAATGACTTTATATATAGTCACGTGCCATTTAATGATAGAAATTATTTCTGAGAAGTGTATCACTAAGCAATTTTGCCACCGAGTGAACCACATAAAGTGTACTTGCTCAGGCTAACTTGACAAGTCCCCTTGGTGCAGGCAGAAAATGAGATGAACCCGAAAGCCACTTCTATCATGAAATGGAATCCTGTTTTACAGCACACTCTTTCTTACTAAGAAGAAAAGAGTCGAACATAGCAAGTACATGATAATTGTCATCGATATGCGGGACTATACACTGTACAGCTGTACATCTGGTAGCACAGTAGGTCCTTGGCACCAACGTGATTACAAGCGTGTGAGTTACTATGCTATGATGGAGGTCACTAGGCTATAGGAACTTTTCAACTCCATGGTGATCTGTGGGACTGCCACTGTATCTTTCTATACACACCCATCATAACCTTCAGCACATGCTTATACATATAAAGAGGCATTAATACATATTATTTCAAGGCTTTTCTACAACCATAATTATATATGTTCCATTGTTTGCTTTGCTCATTTGGTTTTGGTTTTGTTTCGAGACAGGGTTTCTCTGTGTAGCCTTAGCTGTCCTGGAACTCGCTCTGTGGTCTGGCATAAAACTCACAGGTTTTGACCTGCCTCTGCCTCTGAATGCTGGGATGAAAGGTGTGGACCACCATAACCAGGTTCATTGTTTGTTTTATCATGTGAAATTTATCCTGGGTCACTCAATGTTATTCTATGGAGAGTATCTCCTAATTGACGGATTGTCCTTGTCAATAATCAGAAGGTCCCTCAACTCTTACTGTACATACAATGCTGTACTGAGCAATTTGTCTTTTGTTCATACACAGGTATAACTGTAGACAGTTTCCAGAGTTGAGAAGCCATAGAATTTTAATTTGAATATTTCTGACACTTACTAAAGAGTGGCCTACATTTGGTTATTTGGTTACTGTTGTCTGTCTCCTTGTGATTATATAAACTTCTAGAGAAGTGGTTCTCAGCCTTCCTATGGCTGCGACCCTGTAATACAGTTCCTCATGTTGTGGTGACCCCAACCATAAACTTATTTTTGTTGCTACTTCATAACTGTAATTTTGCTAGTTACGAATGGTAATATAAATATCTGTGTTTTCTGATGGTCTTAGGTGAACCCTGTGAAAGGGTTGTTTGTCCCTCAATGGGGTAGTGACCCACAGTTCCTGATGTTTAGCATGTTAATGATGAATACAAACTAGATGTCCTACTGTAAATATAAATTTGATAACACTGGCATAATAACCCTTAAACTTAGGGACTGGGTTCAGGTGCAGATTGAGGCATTTCTGAGTTTATACTTCAAGATGAAAATGGGACAGATTAAGATAAAGGTACTGAAAAAGGAGTGGTGGTTTCAAGGATAAGGCCGACTCTTCAATCCAGGGGCTGGGTCAATAACAGGTGAGTCTCTAGGTTAATTACACAGAGGCTGGATGACAAAGTGGAGCAGAAGCCCAGAGAGTTCCTTCCTGATGAAGCCGTGGAGACTGAGAATTGCACAAACTTAGAATTCAAGGCAAGAAGTGGGGAAAGGCAAATGCACTCTTAAAGTACAGCCTGTACAGAGATAGACCAAGAAAAAAGGAAAAAGGAGGGGGCAGGCAGCGTGGTTCTAGTGTGGCTTCTCACACAGATGCTCATGGGAGCCCCAGTTTTGCTCCGCAGCTCCCACATTTAGGGAAGTGGCTAGTGAACTGGCCAGGTGAGACAGACCTAGCTACGATGCCCCACCCACTCCTTCCAAGAACAGCCTTTCCCCTACCCCACCCCACCCTGCAGCTCCAGAGGTTCAGCCCCAGCAAGGAGATGCGGCTGAATGCTTCTCTTTTCACAAGGTCAGCATCAGTCGTCACAGAAGCAAATGAAGTATGGTTAGTCAACTTGGAAAAAAAAATAGAAAGACAGACAGAAGCAACTCTCAGCTCAGCTCTTGCTCAGACACTGCCAGAGAAAGGTGAATTGGTACAACTTCTTTGGTTGTATCAATAAGGTAGTGATAACACTTAAAAACTGCAAAAGTGTTTTTATCTAGGCATTCCACTTCGAGGAATTAATTCTATTGGCACACTTAGAAAAGTACACATAATGTACATGTTTACTGAAGCACTATTTTGACAGGAAAAAATGAAACAAAAATAACTTCCCATCAGTATGTTAACGGCTTTTTTTTTATTCATAATGCTGTCTTATATAACATCCTCCACGGCTGCTGGAAGAATGAGGTAAATCTCATTGTGTAGAATGGGGAGCAATGGTCAACAGCATTGCAAGGTGAATAAAAGTCAATCACCAGGCAAGGCAATGGTGGTGTGTATCTTTAATCCCAGCACGTGGGGAGGAAAAGGCAGGTGAATCTCTGTGAGTTCGAGGCCAACCTGGTCTACAAAGCGAGTTCCAGGACAGCCAGGACTGTTGCTCAGAGAAACCCTGTCTCAAAAAATCAAAACAGCAACAAAAACAAAAGTCAATCAACTTGAAACAGCCAGTGTAGTGTACAATTTTTGGATTTAAAAGAAAACATGCTATATTTGAATAAAAAACGTCTGTTAAAAATATGAGCGGCTGATGGTCAACATTGAGGAGTGGGACCGAGGGAACAGGGCAGCAGCTGGGACAGTTCTTTCAGGTGCTTTTTTTTATTGTTTTTGCAGTTGCAAAGTTCACTTACACAGGCTATCACTCCTTGAGTTCCTTTGGTGTCTAAGTAATGTGGTGTTTGTGATCATGTTTGACTCCAAATAATCATCACTTCCAAAAACTCTGTTTAACAGGGGTTCATTCTGGCTGGGTAAACAACTCTGGTTGACCTTACCTGAGTTTCACAGAACTGATTTCAACTTTGTGGGTCTATTGTCATGGCCCGGCACATGCAGAAAACTTAGTAAAATGTCACGTAGTTACAAGACTCAATGTGTTGAGCCTTCCCACTCTTTACCAGAGCGTGTAACTTTAGTACCGCACCTGAGTCCCCATATACTTTTAGTTGTTACTTACTGGGGCATATCCTTTTTTGTTTGTTTGTTTCGATGGTTGTTTTGGTTTGGTTTGGTTTGGATTTTCGAGACAGGGTTTCTCTGTCTTGCTCTGGCTGTCCTCAAACTCAAAGAGACCCACCTGCCTCTTACCTCCTGAGTGCTGGGATTAAAGAAAGGTGTGTGCCACCACCCCCCAACCCATGAGGGAACATCTTTTAAGAATAAGTTTTAGTTCCTCTGTTGTTTCCTGAAAAGTCTCCAGAGCAATGTACTTATAACGGAAGAAATGTGTCATATTTTGCAAGGTCAGGGAGAAGTGACCAAGAAAAGACAACGCGCCTTATTCAAATACCTGCTTTGCTAAAGAAGAGAATGCCCCAGGAAGAGTGATTCTGAGGTAGACGTTCTTGTCCTGATAATCACAGCCATTCAGTTCATCTCAGTCCTGTATCTTGAAGAAAGATAGCCTGAGACAAAAGAGGGAGAGAGAGAGAGGAGGAGGAAAAGGAGAGAGATGGTGGAGAGGGAAAAGGGGAAAGAGAGAGGGGAGATGAGAAAATGGCAAGGCAAGAAAAACCACTTGACCAGTACAACGGACAATAGACTCAGCATATGTTCTCTTGGGGGCATTACTTTAATGCAAATCCTCAAATGGAGCAGAATATTGCTTGGGACATCAAGTACAGGTTACCTACCTGTTGCTATGATGATGATGTCTTTGCCTATATTTTAATGAAAATTTCAAGGGTGAAGAATTTACTTTCTGCAGAATAAAAATCAGAGTGGAGAGCACAGTGTTTATTTAATTGCCTTGGTGGATTATGAGTTTTCCATGGGGATGAATATTTTGTGTTGATAAATGCAGAGATGCCTACATTTTTTTTTTATAGAAAGCTAATGCCTGCGTTAAAAGATAACTGATTAAAAGTGGTGCACACTTTTAACCCCAGCACTTGAAAGGCAGAGGCAGGTGTATCTATGAGTTCGAGGCCAGCCTCAGACTGGTCAACAGAGTGAATTCTAGGACAGTCAGGACTACACAGAGAAATCCTGTTTCAAAAAACAAAAACAAACAAAAAGGTATAGGCATATCAAGCAAACAGACAATTTCTCTCACTGTAGTTATAGCCAGGCCTAGTTCATGAATGTAAACCAAGCCTACAATTCATAAATTACCTTAAATATTTCACAGTGAGCTTGGGAGATCAGTGCTGCAATCTTAGGGAGTTTCTACTGTATAACTAAACGTTCATGCAAAGGGATCAGCAAATCAAGAAGAACAGGAACTAAAGCAAAACAAAGAAACAGTAAAAACCTAGTTTCCCTAGTTCATTTAATATCCAGATATTCATGATCTGCAGTTAAAAAAAAAACAAAAACAAAAAGAAATGCAGTTTTCAAAGAAAAGTTGATTCTTCTAAATGGCTAAGTTGTAAGCTTGCTTGGCCATTCAATTTCAAATGTATGTGTTGGTGAGAATTTGAGTTTGAAAACACTCTCCCCCAGTATTTAGATTTGAATTCTCAGAAATAAATGACCTTAAGCCCTACCAGAGAGTCCAGAGGCACATTGGCACTGACAGTTGGAATCGTGTAGGGGTGAGAATACATATTTTACTTTACTCTCTTCTTGCACATATATACATCAAACCAAGCCCACAGGATTTGGGTAGCTCCTCAGATTTATTTTAGCACAGACTGTTTTCTTTTTTGAACCACTAATCAACTTTATTAGGCGTCATTTCTACGGCTCAAATCTATTTGTCCCAGAGTCTTAGCATCCTCCTCTCCTCTCATCAGAGTCCCGCTTGGGCTCCCTAGCGTGAGTCATTTATCCAGTGGCTTGCCTGATTATTCACATGTTTTTTGAGGTTTGTGAAATGTGGCAGATAAACAGGTTTATGCTGTGTGCAACTTGGAGGGCAGCCAATGCCTGCCTGCCTATACAGCGTGTTTACTCTCCTTCCCCGAGTCTCTCTCCCATACAGAGACGCCGTATTTCAAGACTAAAATCAGTGTAGAATGCAATCCAGTAATGTCACTGCAGAAAGCAGCAGGTGCCTATCCACTCATTTGCAGTGATTCTTGCAGTGGAGAAAGTGAATCAATGATTCACCCGACGGACAAAGAAACGTCGCAGCGAACGTGTGGGAAAGAAAATCAAATGCAGGGAAAGTAACACTTTCCTCAAGAGGTGTGCCCTGATTTTCAGCAGCAAAACCCTCTCGCGAGACAATTGGGAATGTTTTCAAAGTGTTCTTGCTGCACCTCGGAAAGCAATGGCATGCTCCCTCTCTCCCTGCGTCTGCTGTTTTATTGCTTTTGTGTTGTACTTCTAAAATAAATATCAATAAATCATTGCAGTTAGATACTCTAATATAGACAGAAATGTACTCGACTCCCTACAGTCACTACAATTGGAGGGGACTCTGATTAGGACGCTTTACTTAATTAAGTGATATCGTCTAAAGAGAGTTCTTCCCTCCATTTTCTGTTTAACAGTCTTGTAAAACACCAACAGAGGAAATTCATTCTGTTGTTTGCTTTCCTTATTGTAAACGGTTTCTTCTCATTCATATTTTACAGATGTGGTGTTAATGAAATGGCTAATAAGCCAAAGGCTGCTACTCAGCTGCAGCCTTGCTGCGCTCAGTCCAGGCTACACAGACGAGAACACATTTTCTCTTCTGTTCCAGAAGTGTACTTTTTTTTTTTTTTTGGCAGCATGTGTAAACTACAGTTAAATTGATTTAAGATAAAAATTTCCAAAATAACCAGACTCCATCTAGTTTATCTGTGTGGTTCAGCAGAGACCTTTAAAAATCTATTTATTTTGGAAAACAGAAAAAAAAATGGGCAAAGAATGAGCAACCCTTATGCATTAGATGTTACTTGTAAAGCACTTTGCCTTTACTGAAAGACGTCATTAAATTTGGATTGCCAATACAAATATGATTATATATGTTTTCTAAATAAAATGTTGTTATGTTGCAACTGAACTCATCCATTTATTGTTTGTTTACCTAATGCTCAAACTGCATGTTTTATTCATAGATGTCTGGGAGAAAAAAAAATTTTGCTTAATAATCACACCAAGCATATTTAACAAAAGCGATTCTCCTTTTATTAGTGAGCAGGTTTAAGCAGAATGATTTCATTTTTTTTCCCCATTTTGTTAATTCAGACTCGCAGGATCCTTGGCGTGGAGCTTTTGTTTCTCTCCCTGCTGCCTTTTATACCTTTAATGTATGCATGCCTCTCCAGTGATGGGAAAATATCATCTCCTGAAACTCCTCCTTGTTCCTTTTTGGCCATTCTCTCCGTGGATTTCTCGTCTTGCTCAGTGCTCGCAAGTTAATTTTGCCAACTTGCTTTATGTGCAAGATAGACCAACTGAGGGCCAGTGAGGAATGCCTGGTCCTGTCGAGGGCTTTGAATTTCCTTTCAGGGCAGAAAATTTGGATCCTAGGTACACTTATTTACTTCTCCCTTTAAAATAATACACAGTTATGCTTCTAAAGAGATTAAAAAGTGTGCCAGAAACAGTAGTTAAGAAAGTGAACATTTGCCAGTGCGGTGTTATTGCTCTTAATACTGAGTTGTTTTAATAAAAATGTTTGCAACTTTAGCTAACTAACAATGGCTTTGCATCTCAACCAGTGTTATTAAAAGCGGTGTTCAACGTCAAAACTTTGTTACATGAACTCGACTAGCTAGCCACAGACGAACTTTGATAACAATATGCAGCTAAAAACTTGGCTGATCTGTAAAATCTGAATGTGTGTAGGTCTCAAGATATACGACTGAATATTAATGAATTACATGCGAGGGCTTTTAAAACTAATTGTTGGAGTATTTAAAGAATATTCTGTGATTTTGCTAAGAATCTGCATTGTTTAATATTCATTCCATATAGGTTGGTTATTTACCAATCAAACAACAGTAATCATAACGACATAGTTGTTAATTCGTCTGATTAGAAGCTTTTGTTTTCGTGGAATACCATCTACACAGGACCATTGCCTGAAGACAATCGAAAAAGTATATAATCTTTCCTAATTCCCCAAGTTAAGAAAGCCAAAGAAACACAATAAAATAATGTGCTCCCAGACTTGTGAGTCACAGAGTTGCTTGTAATAGCTTTACTATTTTTCCAAGGTGGGGGGGGGGGCATTTACTAAAGATCAGTGTTACACGAGTTCTAAAGTCATGAAACTTTGGGGTCTTTCTAATATTGTCTTCTGGATCATTTTTATGGCTCAGTTAATCTACCATCTGTGACGCAAATGTCTTCTCTTTAAGCTCTCCAGTTTAAAGGGTGCTCTTGTCCTGACGTGAAAGTGTAGGACATTCCTGCCCCTTGAGAAAAATTTTGGCGACAGAATCCCATAAAGTCAATCTGATAGAGATTTTAATCCACCCACCCCCACGTTTGTTTACCTCCTTAAAATTATTTTTAAACCAATGCACTGCCCCACCCCAGGACTGGAAGCTGAATGAGAACTGTGTCTAATGAATACCACCGAGGTTAGAGTCGTCACTGGGTCATTATCTGGCCGAAGAATGCCAGCCCTGTTTCGGCTGAACCAATTATTTTTATCAAATGACTTTTCTACTTAAATTGTTTGCTTTAAGAAATGCTGATTTTTAGAGATAAGCAGAGGTTTTGTAATGCACATTTTAGATCACAATTACTCCAATTTCTACAAACCAATGTGGGCAACAGAGCAGACTTCGGGCTGATACTGAGAGAAACTGCTGCCCGGGGAAGCAGCTAACTCCAGTCTGTCCTGGAAGACAAGTGCGGAGCCTTGAGTCAGACACAAGAGCTGCTCTGTCTTCAGCAGGACAAGGAAATCATGTCCCAACATACCTTTTGATTATTGTTTGTGAAATGGTTATCCAAACTAACGTGTTTGTCCTGAGGCTGGTGGTCTGAAGGGGGCTTTGCTAAGGGTCACAGTTGCACCCTCTTGCCGAGCTGGAAGGGAAGTCTGCAGAGAGGAGAAAGAAACAGTTTAGTGCTAAGAAGGGGCTGGGTCTCAAAACTCGTTTTCTTTCTGCAGGGATATGAGTTTTCTAAGAAGGGAATATTTAGCAAAGGCCCTTTCTTTTCCTTATTTATTTTTTTGAGATGGGGTTGGCGAAGACGAGGGAAAAAGCCACATCTTGTATGAATGAAGTAGGAGGAGACAATGTGCAGACCAGAAAAAGTAAACAAAAGCTGGACAGCTTAGCTTTCCCCCACAGCGAGTTTCCCTCCACCAGGAGATGGCTGCAGAGTCTGAGGGGCAGCTCATTTGCAATGACAAACTGCTTTCTCCACACTGGAGACTGGACCATGGACTCCTAACTACATCTCACTTACAGCAACAGCACCAGTTTTGCCTCCAAAAGAGGGATCTGCTAGCCCTTCACTAATTAGCTTTTTAAGGGGGGCAAAACTTGATAACAAACTATCGTACAAACACTTGAATATTTTTTCACAGGTCATTTTTAAAAATGTCCCGAAACTCCTCAGTGGCCGAGAATATTCTGCCATTCATATTGGATGGCTAACAACAACAAACCACCAGATTTTTTTTTATGTAAGCTACATGGAAGAGATTTAAATACTTACAACAAACACACTGTGAACTTCATGAAAATAGGATAAAAGCAGTTTCTTCCCTAGTATTGTTTCTCCTGAGAATAAGAAACCAACCTGAAGCTAAAGGTTTTCTGAACAGAAACAAGCACTGAGTGAGTTGTGGAAGCAGGGTAGCGCTGAGCCCTGTCCCCTTAAGAGACACAGTGTTGAGATGCAGCCCACTTAGTTCAGTCCTGTGCTAATATCAGAACAGAAGTAATGTGGCAATTTGCAATGCATTGATCATTCATAATATCCCTGAATTCAGTGGCTCAGGAAAGGCTCAGTTCTTTCTCCCAATGACAATAGTCATACAAAAAGTATATAATAATTCAAATTCATGTTCTAAACTTTAATTTCTAAAATCAGTATTTTTCTCTTGCTCAAATGCATATAAAATGAAAACAAAAATCTGAGTCGGGTTACCCTAAAAGAACACATAAAACAACATTTGAGAATTTGTTTTTCAAGATCTTGTTTTTGAAACAGCTACCTAAAAAGAATGAAAAGGAAGAGAGCCTACAGAGTGTAATGAGTCAAATATTTCCTTCCCTTCCCCTTTGCAACCCAACTGTGGGAAATGAGGACCACGGAGATCAGATGCTGCACTGATGTGAAAGGTGTTGCAAAGCGTCCTGTTGATTGGTTCTAATTAACTGTGATGCTCTTGTGTTCTCAGTTTTAGCCGGGACACACTACACAATGCCTTTTATTTGGCTTTCAATGGATTTTTACTTAATAACAGCTGATCGCTATATCTGCAGCCCTTGGGTTTTTTTTTTATTTCCTAGGGCTTTTTTTTTTCATTTTGAAAGATATGTTTGAAGATATTGCTACACCATAAAAAGAAATAAATGTTAACAGTATTCGTGTGGTCTTTCACACGCCTTTTGCATATTTGCATTTGATGACTGCCCTCCCAAGACACAGTTCAATTTCTCTTTAAAAGTTGTGTATCTGGTCAACGTTGTAAGCAGGAAGTTCTGGAAGACAAATGTGAACTGGCAGTTAGTTTTCTTTTACTTTTTAATCAGACTGCTAAACAGAGCAGAGCCAAACCGTGGAACTTGCAAGAATTCCTTGCAGTGGGAAGGATTCCAGGATTTTAAAATAGTAAATGAAATTCTTTGCACTCACCTTTCTCTGATGACTTAAGCTGAAACAGCCCAGATGGAAAGAAGTCATGAATTTTCATCAACTTCACACATGTCATACAGTTGAAAACATTTTGATTTGGCCTGGGACCCCTTCATGTCTCTGGAACATAGTAATGGCTCTGCTGTGATGTTTTGGAGGTACAACCCCCCGACCCCCACCCCACGAAGCTCCAGAAGCACCGGGAGATACTTGGCTAAAGTAAACAGCCTTTAAGTGGGAGGGGAAAAAAGCATTAAGTAACAGGAAGTTCCCAAAGAAATACACAAGTTAAAATAAGGAGCTATTATTAGAGGCAGCACACTCTTGGTCATTTTAAGGACTACAATTTTATACAATACTACCCTTTCTGAGACGATGCAATTATTTGACCTGAATCAAACAGAATCATTTTAGACAGAGAAAATCCATAACTGAAATATTGGAGCTTAAATTGTCCATTTAGCTGAGCAGACCTAGAAAGTGACTAAACAGTACTCCTCTTTTTGTTCATCTGAAGATGCAGTGTGATTCGTGTGAGCAGTAAGTCCACTGCTTCAAAACAGCCAGCATCCTCGCCACTGCCCGGAAGAAGGCTAAGTAAAGTTAAGCATGAAGCAAATGAAATTGTACCTAATGACACCCTGAGTGAGGGGACTGTCTCTGAAACGCTTCTATCCTTCAAAATAATTTTTTTTAGTTTTAAATAAGTAAATAAAAATGACTAAGACGGAGAAAGAAGTAAACATTAGGAGCGACCAGAGACTGGAAAGCGGGGAGCCCCAGAGTCCTTTGCGCTGTGCTCTCCCCCTTACAAAGGGGGGCAGGGCAGGTGCAGGGGGAGATACAGCAATGTTCCCAATGTCTTTCAAAGACGGAAACATGAGATGGGCTGGCAAGCCAGTTGGCTTCTGGTAGCATTCTTCCTACAGACATCCAGTCTTCCACTAAAGCAATAGTAATGTCCACTCAGCTAGCTGCCTGTCAATCCTATAAGGGCAACAACACATGCATTTAAAAGGTAGGCTTGGGCCCCACCAAGTTAGCAACTGCTGCACAGTGTGAGCAGGCGTCTTCTTCAAAAGATATTTCTTTAGAAAATATCTTTATCCTTCCGTGATTGCCATACTTCTAGGGCATAGGTCTATTTAATGAAGTGTGTTTCTCTTTGGCATCTGACACTGCCCCAGCAGCCGGGGAAACCACTGTCACACACTGGCTCCTACTTTCAACCTGCATTCTTTATTCTTCGGACAGCATTGCCTTCCTAGATTGTACTTCTATATTCAGATCTTCGCAATGGCTTTATGGTTGGGTACACAGGGTAGAATATTAACTTTTTGGGCTAGTATTCTAAAATCCTAAGATCTTTAACTTTTAGCCTACTCCTCTGTTTTGTTTTTAACATCTTCATTATTTAGGCTGAGTTATACAAAACAGGTATGTTTCTCTGACGATGGCTGGCTTCCCCCATCTCCTCTGGACCTTGGTACATTCTGTTTCCGCTTCCTAGAATTCCTTTTACCTCCTTTAGGAGTGAGCTCAAATATCACCTTTCCTCCTGCTTCCAATCCCTAACACATCTTCCCATGAGATACTACTGGTTTTACAGACTTTGCATGACTCCTTCTTACACTGAACTGTAATTATCTGTCTAAAAAATATTATCTTCTCTCACACAATGTCTTTGAGATCAAAGATCTCCCTTTCCCTCCAAGGCTAATACTTTGCCTGGGGTGAGCATTCAATGAATGTTTGCTGACTGACTGAATGAATCAATAAGTAGGCTACTGTGTTTTCTTCTCTCAGCATCTTTGTCTTGGGATGATATCTCTAGTTTTCCCATTATGATCTCTAAACTGGATGTATGTTGACAACAGGACATTTGAAACAACTTGGTTTGAGCTTCTATCAGCCATTTCCCCCAAGTCAAATTTTTCATTCATTCTCTCATGGTAGCGAATTGACTTTGATATCAAGTTGAAAATATCGACTCCTTCCTTCATGTGAATGGAGAGTGATTCTTGAGTTTTAAAAGAGTCCCTTGTTCTAGACATTGGTAAAGAGATTTCCTTTTTTTTAAAAAAAAAATTTATTTGTTTGGTTTTAGACAGGGCCTTGAATTCATTATGTAGCTGAGGTAGACCTTGAACTCCTAACCCTCCTTTCTCAGCCTCCCAAATGCCAAGACCACAGAAACGCACCCCCATTTCCATTTCTTACTAGGAAGACAACTTGAAAGACCACTTGAAACCCAGGAAGCCTGTAAACGCACATGTAGATATAAACAGCACCTTTCCATGGAGTGGTGCTTTAGCAGAGGGTTCTCTGGCTTACAGGAGTGGAACACAGATGCGCGATGTCGTGTTTCTGGGGGTGCTGTCACTATTATTTTGACTCTTTCCAGTCTTGCCCATCCTGATGAGTAAGAACTGCCTAGATACAAATGTCTGCTGTGAGAGGTTGCCCAGAGGAGCTAAGGATGTCCTTAGTACATAAACACATTTTCCATTTGAAATGAAGCTCCCATATTCATCAATAAATGGTGACATGAAATGATACCCTCATATCCACCCTTCAAAACTGTAATAATCTTGAGTCAGGCCCTCAGGTAAATAAAGAGACCCACTGGGCTAAGAGAAGGCAGGGTATCTCAAGCTTGAGATCGTTTGTATACTCAGGATCCCACCCACCACCCCCATTCACTCCACTGACTCTGTTGTACCCCCAAACTACATATTAAAATGTGGGCAGTACTCACTTAAGGATGGAGGTTGGAACACAGTTCCGTGGTCACTGGGCCAGGCTCCCTACAAAGAGTCCTAGGTGAGATTGTGATTAACAATTAGCTCTAGTTTTTTAATTCTTTCCTGGTCCACAAGGCCATGCCAGTCAGTTTCCAAACCTATCACCTAAGGAGGAATTGTGTTTGTGAGTTAAAGTCCATCATCACGTTAGAAGAAGGTCCTTCTTCAGGATGGCAAAGTCTTGGGTTATGGATGCTCTGTAGTTGGTTTACATCTGAAATGCAATAAAAGATTAAGCTCTTTAAAGTTGTTTCTTCTTTAAATTCATTTTGTGCTGCATCTGAGATTTCACGCTTGTTTCCACTAAAATAGCATCACAACATACAGTCATAATTTGAATAGGAAAACACTAGAATTCTCTCTTACCAATTGGCAAGGGGTGAACCTTTTTTTTTTTCTTTCAATTATTTGTTTGTCATCAAAAACACCTAAGCCGGGCGGTGGTGGCGCACGCCTTTAATCCCAGCACTCGGGAGGCAGAGGCAGGTGGATCTCTGTGAGTTCGAGACCAGCCTGGTCTACAGAGCTAGTTCCAGGACAGGCTCCAAAGCCACAGAGAAACCCTGTCTCGAAAAACCAAAAAAAAAAAAAAAGAAAGAAAGAAAGAAAGAAAAACCACCTAGAATTTTATTTGTTTCATTATCATTAAAAGATATCATAGGCAAGTATAGTGATTCATGCCTTTAGTCCTAGCAGAGGCAGAGGCAGGAGGATCTCTGTGAGTTTGAGGTGTGCTTGGCCTACATAGTGAGCTCCAGGACAGCCAGAACCTGCATAGTGAGACTGTCTCAAAGGAAAAAGAAGAGCAGGAAGTGGAAGAGGAAGAAGATACCAGTAAGAATTGCAAGGGAAATAGTGAGGCTATTTCACAAGTTCAATTAGAAGAGTGTTTGTTCAGAAAACACTATGTACAGGTCCACTATACAAAGTATACACAGCAGGCACATACCAAAGAGAAAACCTGGCTGTTTCATCACTGTGAAGTTATAGACATAGAATGTGACTGCCTAAGCCACACAGGTGTAGAGTTTCCTGCATGCCTTCTGTTCTCTGTCAATTTGAAAGAAAACCTTGGCTGGCAGAAAGGGTTAGTCAAGCTGGAGAATGTTCTTGAGCAAAAATTTCAACTTTACAACTTAGAAAGCAAGGGAAAAAATGTATTCATCTTCAGTGGGGACCATTTGAAAGTTCCTCACAAAGGTACAAAGGGACTTGAGCCTCAACCCCACTGAGGCTCTAAAATGAATTCATTATATTAAAATGACTCTTGGAGCAAGAGCCAGTAATGATTTGTATTATCAGCTAATAAAATGGGGTTAGGCATATTTGTTCAATAAAAGTCCCTTTTATTCACTTTTACAGACATTCTTCTTTCTGCTTAATGAACATGGAAGACTGTTCATCATTCAGTATTGTTTAACTTAAAAAGCACAAATCTGTCATCTGGTTTTAAAATATTTTCCCCCATTGGTAATCTAGATGACTAGTGTCTATCTCTGTTCTTTAAGAATATACTAATACCATAATATAATTTTGGAAAATTAAATTTGGGTTTTTTTTTTACATTTTACATCTAGAGACCCCTTAGAATATTAGGAAATATCCTTTATAGAGTAAGTTTTGCTAGCTCTCCTGAACGCTTACTGTCAATGAGTTGTACCTTTCTTTTCTGTTCAGAACTGTTATAAGCCCTCTCATCCAGGCAAGTTCCCTGAAAAACTTGCAGTGAAGCCCAGGGCATTTTCTTGGTACCTACTAGCAAGTTACGGCTTTACCCTTGGTGGTCATAGCTAATTTTAGGTGTGCCCAAACCACTTCTAAAATGAGACTATGAGGAAGGAGGTCTATCCTCCCAACCAAGAGGACCCTTGCAATCTTATTTCGCCCACAGACCTCCTCCATTAAGCACTCCTCCTTCATGCCGGAGCCTCACATACAGAACACTGATATTTGAGAGAAATGTAGTTTGATTTTACAATGCCCCTGGCAGGCCAAATAGTTGCATGTTCAGCCTGAGGTAGGAAGAAAACTTTTGCTCTAATCCCTATTTTCACATTTCTCTGAAAGTTCAGAGCCTAGTCTCTAATGGATTTAGTAGGGGTGGGGGGGATTCCTGAGTTTTGCCCTCAGTAGTAAGGATCTGACTTTTGTGGTACTTTTCAAAACTGAGGCTGTCTAATAGGACACAGCTTACTTTCTCAAGAAACTGTTTGAGAATTTCTTTATCCAAGTCTCTTCTTGTCTTTCTCCTTCTGACTCTTTCCAGGAATTCCCCCAGGGGTCTGTTCCGAATCTGAGGTGGAAGATGTGGAAAGG